TTTCGCAGTCTAACCTCCAGTGGCCAAATGGACTTATTTTTTCTCCACAGTTCACATTGTTTTGAATGTGACTGATTTCAGAGATCACCACTTTGAGCTAAGTGTGAACTGCTCACTCTGACAGCTTCTCCTTCTATGGAAGGAAGGTACTGCTGAATATGTTCTGGTGAGTGTCCTTGGGTTCTAAAAGGAAGACAACACAGAATAATGGGATGCCATTAAGTTACTGATTTGTGTGGGTGAGGTACCCAGCCACTCCCATTGAACTTGTAAAATATGCAATACCAGGTGTGAACTATGAGTTTTTCAACAGAAATTAGTGATCTGGGAGAGAAAATTTTAAACTTCTTCCATTCTAAAGGTAGTTTATGGGTGTGATTCCCACTCCTCTCTAGCATTGCCTTTCTTTACATGGCCATTGCAGAGGCAATTCAAAGTGGATGTATGATGGGATCGTGGAGTGTTATATTCCATTCCCTGTATACTTATTATTCACTGACTCTTATAATAGTCACTTATGGTAAATGGGAGATGCTTTATCTATTAGAGATCACAAACAAATTGTTCAAATATGGAGGAAAAATTTAAAACCAAAATGGATCAGACATTTTAATAACAGTAAAATAACCAGATTTTACCCAACAAAATGAAGAGGAAAATGAAACCATAATGAAGACTGAGTAATTGGTAAGAATCATTAAATGTGTCTTAATACATTTAGCAAGACATTTGTTTTGTTTTAAAACATTATATCCATCTAAATATTAAACATTGTGTAATAACATAACTACTCACCTAAAACTGTGTGACAGATTTGGATTTTGAATATCCCCTTTGTTTGCTATACAACTGCAATTAAGTTGGAGAAAATGAAATAACAGAATTTAAAGATAAAACCAATGTAATCTTCTGCATCAACCATGAAAATAGGAATTCCATTGAGGAAGTAAAACACTGTTCTTAACCTCCTTAGTTAAAAGGACACTCATTAAAAAAAGACAAAAACTCTTGAAATAATCTTTAGGAACCAAGATAAGAGATCCTTCAAGTGCCTTAGTTTTTCTGTTGTTATATGTAGTATCACAGACAATTATGGTAACACTGTATTAAATATTATTTAGATATTTATAACCCATAATGTGACAATATTATTTTTACATAACCAATGTGAAAATGACAATTGGGATAATATATACTTTATTTGTATATTTTATATATAATCTATTATAACATACAATTATATATATATATTTTTCAAAATACAGAAAAGACATGAAAAGATTTAAAGATGAAAGCAAAAAATTGCATTTACAAAATCAACAGGTAACTATAAACCAGGGACACACTACAGAGGTGGGGAGAAGGCAGTATAATCAAAACAAAGGTGGTGGGAATTTCATGGGGAATATAACTATGATGAAAATGCATACATTGTACAAAAATGAAAAACGATGTAAAATATATAAAATTTAAAAATTGCATTTTTTAAGTTTTTTTTTTTTTTGATTTATTTATTTATTTATACAAGCACTGGGTACAGTCAGAAGCGGGAAGGTGAGAGAATTCACCAGAGCCAGAGAGGGGAGCAGAGCAGGCAGAAGGACCGAAGTACACTGCTGAGGGGAGCAGCGGGCGGCAGGAGAGGTCTGCGCGCCATGTGGGACCTTCCTCCAGTGGCCGGGGAGTAGCCGGGGATCGAACCGGCGCTGCCGAGGCTGTGGTCAGCTTCGCAACCCAGCACTCAACTGCTGCGCCACTGGGGAGGCCCTAAAAATTGCATATAACCACTGCATTAATTTTTGACAATGGTATATTCAATTTAATGGAAAGACCAAACAAATTACTTCTGGGTAAATGAAGCAATATTTCCAGACAAGGAATGAATTTTTTTTGTTGTTGGATTTCATAACAGAAATAAAATTAACATTCTTCTAGGCACATAGAAATAGAAGTTTTGGGAGTCTTCAGAAACCTCACCTGGTAAATTGCATTTGCAAGAGAAAATGACTAGATTAATAGATGTTTTATTACAATATCTAGAAATGCCAAGTATCATCTTCAAAATCTCCCTCAAAATAGTCTATAGTTCTTGGCATAATTTAATAGAAGTTTTATACTCCTGTGGAACACACACACACACACACACACACACACACACCCAACCCCCGCCACCCCGAACAAATTCTGAAATTTTCTTGACGAGTGCAAGGGACTGTCTCATCTAAGCCAACTCTTCTCCTTCCATTTCACAGTTAAACAATCTCCCAATAAAATTACATAATTCCCTGCACAAGCTAGGAGCATCCATCACACTCTCACCTTCTAGGTAAAGTACATCCATAGGGTTTGTGCAGAAAAACGACAAAAGAGAATCGTTTTCCTTTATGTCTCTGTGTCAGGTTAACAAATTAAGCAAGAGATAAACACAAACATGCCCTCACCATTCAGACATAATTACTTTGTTAGTGTTTTATTCTCTTTATTCTCTGCTTCTTCCATTCCTGATTATTTTCATACCTTGAGAACATAAAGTGTTAATAATACATGTTACTCCTATGTCATCCAAACGGTGATAAGATCCACATGAGAAAAGATATTTCACAAAGACAATTTTGAGAACACCTAAAATATTATCATGAAAATAATGACTCAATTACATTTTTAGGATCTGTCATTTTTTTTTTTTCCTGCTTGTAGGGGCAGGAAGGCACAGAGAGAGTTCTGGAACCCTCGGTGACTTTTCAGGCTTTTATTGAGCTTTTTATAAGGCGGGGGCGGGGGGCAGGGGTTGGGAAGCTGGCAGGCCTCCCAGCACCCCTGCCCCCAAATCTTCACTCTTTCTGGGCTCTCTGGTGTTCTCTCGTGGTGTCCACGCTGTCTCTGGTTCTCAGCTGCTTCCACCACTGCTACTCTTTCTGCGCTTCGCCTAATGCCGCCCTTATAAGCCCCGTTTCTGCCCAGGTGTGCCCATCTATGCCTGCCCACTCCCTACTCTAGGTGTCCACCATCAGACATGCAGGTAGGCCCGCAGGGATGCATCATCAGTTCCAGTGGTGGGAGGGAAGATAAAGCTTGACCACTTATCCTACACTGCCCCTGCGCTAATTTAAAATGAAAGTTGTTTCCTCAAAATTAATTATCAGGGGCCTCCCCTGGTGGTGCAGCAGGTTGAGCGCCACGCTGTGAGGCTGTCCACAGCCTCTGCAGTGCCAGTTCAATCCCGGCCGGCCAGCGAGAATTCTACATGGCTCAGCAGACCTCTCCTGTCCTTCCCGCTGCTCCCCTTAGCAGTGTATTTCATCAGTCTGCCTGTTCTGTTCCCCGCTTTGTCTCTGGTGAATCCTCTAGTCCTCCCGCACATCGGGCCTGTACCCCAGCTCTCTATAAATAAATAAATAAATAAATCTTAGGAAAACTAATTATCAGATAATGTAATTGAAAAACCAACTATATATAAAATTATGGGGCTCTCTTTCATCTGGGAGGCAAAATGACATCCAGACTAGGAAGACCCAAAACTTCCGGTCCTGTGAACAATTACAAGGGCCTCCTGGGGAAGTAAGGAAGCTCCCAGGAGGCCTGGAAATGCCTCCCAGCATCCCAGGATCAACTTTGACAAATATCACCCAGATTACTTAGGGAAAGTTGGCCGAGGCTTTACCTCTTAGAGAGGAATCAGAACTTCTGGCCAACTATCAACCTTGATGAATCTTATCACTGAGCAGACTCAAACTCAAGCAAACCTACCCAAAACAAGACTGGAGCTAAGGAGGGGCGGGGTGGGAATTGTATGGGGAATATAACCAAAATGAAAATGCATATAAACTGCACAAAAATGAAAAAAAATGATGTAAGATTTATATAAAATAAAACAATAATTTTAAAAAATAGGTGGTTTATGTTGCAGACTTTTTCAAGTCTTCTGTTAAATAACTTGCTCTTCTCCAAAAAGTGTGTGTAAACTTGATGTTATTACTTACATCCTAAGTTCATTTTTTCTTTTTACAAAATACATATTGTAGCTATTTTTATATCATCCATTTTATTGAAATGACTGGTTTACAACACTGTATAAGATTTAGGGTTCAGACTCATACCTCTTCAGACGTATGATACCAGTAGGGATCTTTCTTTGTAATTAATAGCAGTTAGTATTTTAATTTAAAATATTACCTAATTTGGAGTGTTAAAATATTATATTTCATAGTTGCTTCACATTTATTTACTAAGAATTATTTCAAATGATAATTTAATATGGATAATAGTTACATTATTTCCTTATAAAAATACACTGAAGGTCTGTCTGTACATTTCCTTTTCCTTTAGGAATACTATATTTCAGATCAATTTTTATGATGTATTACGCTAATAATAATGGTTATTTATACATCATTGTTATTGCATAGTCCTATCAACTTGGTGTTTCATAATGTTAACTTACTTATTGAAAATAAATGTTTAGTTAGAAGAAAAACCATAAGGATTTTTTCCTGTCATATATAAAACAAAATTATAAAACTGCAATATTAAATCCAGTAATGTTTTGGTGGTATATGAACAGATAGAATGATTAAGAAGAAATCATAGCAGTTAGGAACATTTATTAATGTGTAAAATGAATAAGGTACTTTAATATAGATCAAAAACTAATGTTTCATAGTGCAAAAAACAAAATTATATTTTTGAAAATATATTTTAATAACTTTAATATATATACTAATTTTTCCTTTAAGTAAAATGAGGAATACTCAAAGACATTATATTTCTTACCAATGTTATCATGACTGAGTGTCAATCATTTAAACTTTCTAAACATGTTTATTAGAATAGAGAGCTACTTTTACATTTATGATGAAGTGGTGATTTCTTCAAGTAACTTCAGCCTAACTTTGTTGAGTCCAAGGTAGATTAGGAGGTTAAATAAAAAGTTTCGAATGGTTCCATCTTCTGTTGCAGCCAACATTGATAGGAAATTAAGAAAGACTATGGCCAATTTCAATATGAGTGGGTTTCTTCTGATGGGATTTTCTGCCAATCCTGAACTAGAACTCATCCATGCTTCTCTGTTCTTAGTCTTATACATAATGGCTTTAACTGGCAATATCCTCATTATCACCGCAGTTTCCATGGACAATAGTCTCCACTCACCCATGTATTTCTTCCTGAAACATCTCTCCTTCTTGGATCTGTGCTATATTTCTGTGACTGTGCCAAGGTCCATTTGCAACTCTTTTATGCATAATGGCTACATTTCCCTCTTGGAATGCATAGTACAGTGTTTTTCTTTCGTTCTTTGTACCTGTGCTGAGCTGTCCATGCTCACTGTGATGTCTTATGATCGCTATGTGGCCATCTGCCTTCCACTGCGCTACGAAATCATCATGGATGTCAGCACCTGTGTTCATGGAGTCCTAGGTGTCTGGATCAGTGGGGTCATTTCTGGAACCATGCAAACAGCTGCCACTTTCTCCATGCAACTCTGTGGTCCCCATATCATTCACCAATTCTTCTGTGACATCCCCCAGCTCCTGAAACTCTCTTGTTCTAATGAGTACATCAGAGAGGTTGGGGTCACTGATTTTTTGGGTCTTATGGCCTTTCTTTGTGTAGCCTTTATTGGACTGTCCTACATCCAGATATTCTCTGCTGTGCTGAGGATGCCATCTGCTGAAGGCAGAGCTAAGGCCTTTTCCACTTGCCTTCCCCACCTCGCTGTTGTCATTTTATTTATTTCAACCAGTGCCTTTGAGTTTCTCAAGCCACCTTCTGACTCTCCAAGTGCACTGGACATTCTGCTCACTATCATGTACACAGTTGTGCCTCCAACACTCAACCCAATGATCTATAGCTTGAGAAATAAAGCCATAAAGGAAGCTCTGAAAAAGGTTGTCAGAATAAGAAAAGTTGACCTCTTTTGTTGAGGCACATCTTTTAATTCTTGCTTGGGAGAAAAGTTCAAAATAAATTGGGGAAAATGTTGGCTGAAACGAATTGAGATAAGTAAAAATCAAGTGAGTTAATTAAAGAAAATGTCTGGGGACTAAAGCCCCAGAGGAACCTGCATATAGTTCTGGAAAACCTGTCTGAAAATGGAGCTTCTCGGTGAGGACCTTATATAATTTACACGTGAAACATGTGAGGAATCTGGGCAGATGTCTGGTTTGTGTATCAAGCTGATGTTGTCTGTACATTGAGGAAAACAGATGGTTGTTAAAATTTACCCCTATTTAGAGCTTTGCCTTTTGGGAACTGGGGGTTTCAAATCTGCCATAAACCTTGAAGGATATCTTTCTCTGAAGTTACTAATTTTCCCAGAGGCATCTGTTTCCACAATGTTGCCTTTTCACAAATGATATTTTTCCTGGGAAAAATATCTTAGGACCAGGGCAGTTGCATCTTTGCTCTTGACTTGCACTTTCTAGTTGGGGTCAGGAAAAGTGGACTGAAATTATTTTATTTGGTTTACCAGACATAACATAGTCAACCATGAATTTAAAGGTAAATAAAGAAATGAGCATAGGGGAAGTTGCCATAACTATGTGCTGAGTAATATACATATCCACACATACAGCTCTATAAACATTACTCCTGCAAATATAGATTAAAATCTGACCCCACAAAACAAAGTACAAAAAACATTTATATAACTTTAAAAAAATTAAGAACTCTACATGATCATTTCCATCAGGATGATAAAAGAACAGTAAACATGATTTTCTTTTCTCATTGTTTCCTGAGTTATTCTGGAGTTGGGTTATCACATGATATCTGTGTATTGATGAGAACAAGCAGACTCCCAGCGTGTTTTGGTCCTTGTAGAGTTCCACTAAGGCTCTCTTTACCAACCTTGAAGGTCTCTCTGGGTAATTTACTGAGGTCACTCTGCAGAAATCTCATTATACCCTTTCTTTGCCTCTTAAGATACAATGGACTAATTTCCACCCAGGTGGGAGGAAGCCTGGATACCACACTAATCATTTACTGCCTCAGACAAACAAATGTTTCTTTCTTTTTTATATATTTTACATTTTTAAAAACATTAATTTATTTTTACATAGAACTGGGGTGTAGGCCAAAGGTGCAGGGTGGTCAGACGATTCACCAGATATAGAGCGAGGAGCAGAACAAACAGATCTACTGAAATACACTGGTGAGGGGAGCAGCCAGCAAGACAGGAGAGGTCTGCTATGCCATACGGGTTAGCTCCCCAGCCAGGGATGGAACTCAGGCTGTAGTTGTGACAGCACTGAGACTTAACCCCTAGGCCAATAGGGAGTTCCCAGAAATACATGTTTCTAAATGTTAAAATGAGTAAAAGAAGAAACAAAACAATATTAAAGTGACAAAAATAATAGATACATTGAGTACCATGCAATGTGATCAGAATTTAAAATCAATGGATGAATTTAATCAGCATGAATTCATTGTTATGTCAAAGGATGATATATGTATGGTAGATTCTAATCTGTTGAGTTGATATATGTGCTCATCGCAATAATATACACTTTTTTAAATTACTGTAGTTACCTAGTACTTTATTACACAAAGAACATTAAATTTCTCATTCTGTTCTTTCAAATTGTTCTGAATTTTATAAGAACACATGTCCTGTTTGATAGTGGCTCATTTTCCAGTGTGATATCTTCTCACCTACACCATTCCGTCTGCCATGACTTTATTTTTTATTTTTTTTTAAATTTATTTGAGTCAAGGAAATTAAAAAGTCAACTTTCATTGGGATTTAACTGATAAAAGGATAATTAGAACTGTCTTTTTAATAGAGTAATTAAATGATAGGTTCAGCCATAAGACCTGGAATTTCATGTATGAAAACCTAATGGTTTAATATTTCTGTTTTTTCCTCCATTATTTGCATGAGTTGAATTAAATGTTTCCATTCTTTCATTTTTATTTATTTATTTATTTATTTATTTATTTATTTATTTAAAAAAATAAATTTTATTTTTATATTCCCTGTACAATTGCAACACCCCCATTCTGAACCCAATCCCTCCTCTCCCACCCCCCACCCCCCAAAAATGTCTCTGGTTCATAGTTTTTTGTTGATTTTGATTTTCACTTTCTTATAGTTATTTATTTTCCTGGTCCCTTATTTGAGTTTTCTAGATTCCTGCTATGAGTGAGACCATCCGGTATTTTTCTTTTTCTTTCTGGCTTATTTCGCTGAGCATGATCCCTTCCAGCGCCATCCATGTTGCTGCAAATTGCATGTGTTTATCTTTTTTGAATTCTGAGTAATATTCCATGGTATATATGTACCACAACTTCTTGATCCAGTCATCTGTTTTTGGGCATTTGGGCTGTTTCCAAAGCTTAGCTATTATAAATAGTGGTGCTATATCTTTATTCCCAAATAAGATCATACATTGAGAGGGAATGGCTGAAGACTTCAAAATATGTACTTTCAGGGAACACAATTCTACCCCTAATATTGTAGCAAGTGACTCAAGAAACTAATTCAACTCACAATAAACCAAAAAGTATGAGTAAATATAATTATATAGTTGAAAAAGTCAATGCAAATTAATATTCTTTTCTCTTTTAACTACATTAGATATCAATTTATAAAGCAAGATGTATAGAATGGATTGTTGGGCTAGAACATATGGAAAAGTAATATATTTTCCATAATAGCATTAGAGGTGAGTGAGAATAGAGTTATATGAGATTAAGGTAATATGATATATTGAATACACACATGAAGAGAACCATCAATGATAAGGTTAATAAAACTAAAGATATACACGTCAGCATATTCTCCTACCTTCTCTGAATTCTCTAAAAGGCACATAATTATGGAAATACCTATGTATAATACTATCTTTCTGAAGTTGTGATATTGAATGAATATAAGTATATATAATGAATATAAATATATAATGAATATAGAGAGAATGGAAATATATACATATGCATGTATTTATATATATATATATATCATAAGAGGGATTAGCATAAATGAATCTGTATTTGTGTTAAGAATGTCTATTTGGGGCCTCCCTGGTGGTGCAGTGGTTGAGCACTGGGTTGCGAAGCTGCCTGCATCCTCTGCAGCACCAGTTCGATGCCCAGCCTCCAGGTGAGGGTCCCACATGGTGCACAGACCTCTCCTGCTGCCTGCTGCTCTCCTCAGCAGTGTACTTCATCACTCTGCTCTGGCTCTGGTGAATTCTCTCACCCTCCCGTGCTTCTGACTGTACCCAGTGCTTGTATAAATAAATAAATCTTAAAAAAATAAAATTAAAAAAAAGAATGTCTATTTGTGTTAAAAACATAAAGACCCTTCAGAAATTTGTGACATAAGGTGACATAATGTGTGATATTGTAATATAATGTATGTTTGGTCCTTGCCCCTGGTTCCTGTCCCTGTCACAGAGATCTAATCCCTTGTAAATTATTGACTGAGAGGTGCGAGGTGATTTTCTTGTATTCCTCATGATCGCCTGTTCCTCTGTACCTGATTTTATGCTAATGATGTGACTCATTATGGGTGCCTAAGTAAATACAGGATTTTCTCTACAAGTCAATAAATTTAAAGTAAATGGAAAAAGCCATTTAAATTTTTCTAAATATGCTATGAGCTTTCCATTAGAAATGGACCAGAAAGCAAGCTTTGTTTCTTTCTTTTTATATAACTAGGCATTATTTTGCCCATTTTATATCAGTCTACTAAAACAGAATATTCAACCAATAGGATTCTAAAATCATACCACCAAGCATTTACTAGCTTCATATTACTAAAGATAGTCACTAAGGCTAAACTGAAAATATAGAAGAGAAAATTTTTGAAAACAAGCTTACATTTTTTATTTCACATGAAAAACAATATACAGGGGCCTCCCCTGGTGGCACAGTGGTTGAGCACTGGGCTGCAAAACTGTCTGCAGTCTCTGCAGCGCTGGTTTGATCCCCAGCCACAAGGGTCTCATATGGCGCATGGACCTCTCCTGCCGCTCCGGCTGCTCCCCTCAGCACTGTATTTCGTCAGTCGTTCTGTTCTGTTCTCTGCTCTGGCACTGGTGAATTCTCTTACCCTCCCGCACTTCTGACTGTACCCAGTGCTTGTATAAATAAATAAATACTTTTTTTTAAAATAAAGAAAAACAATATACATTAAGTTGATATTTTGGAAAGCAAAACAGTTAAGCTAGATACAGCTTACTATATTTACAAGGTTATAACTTAATCTGACATATGATAAATTAATTTTGATTAGGGAGTGTTTTGTTGCTTCATTGGTAGTAAACTATTGATATTTACCCTTTTCAGTTAATGGACATGACTATTACATTTTATACATTCATGTAGTTATGAATTAAATTAATGATTAATTCAATTAATAGAATTAAATGATGTCTTTTTGTGTATTATTGAATCACAACACAAATCACAATATTTTTCAATAACTGGTCCAATAAACACAAATAAGCTGAAATGCCAGGTACTAGGTATGATCATTAAATCAACTCAACAGGAAAATAATCGGTAGGAACAATCAATGTAATTGCATGTTTTGGCCCCAAGGTATTTACCAGGAACACCAGACACCCAATGCACCCAGACACTCTGTTAGTCCCAAAGAGATTTTGCAGTCTAACCTCCAGTGGCCAAATGCACACACACAATTGAGCTAATATACAAATTATTTATATGTTTTTATATATAATCTTTTCTTACATACAATTTTATATATTTTCAAGAACAGAAAAGGAATGTAGTTTTAAAGATGAAAAAATGTATTTAATTGCACTTTATGGCCAATTCATTAATTTTTGGCAATAGTAGGTTTAATTTAATGGAGTGGCCAAACAAAATATTCTTGGATAAACCACGCAATACTTCTAGGCCAGAAATTAATTTATTTTGTGCTGGGTTTAATAACAGAAAATTAATTAACATT